GAGAGAGAGAGAGAGAGAGAGAGAGAAAGGCCCAGAAACTACGTCTACCTAGTGTGAAGATCAGTGCGTAGATCACTCAAGGCATCTAGTCACTGTGCTGCCTCCGTCTTGGCTGGTTCTCAGCTCTCAGGGCAAGGGCTCTGCCAGAAGATTACCAAAGTCACCTACCTTCCTTCAATAATAATTCTGGGTTTGTAATCGAATTTGGTGAGGCAGATTCAGAAACATGATCAAATTACTTGTGCCTGGGTCTGCGTGTGCATGTGTGTTCGAATGTCTGTGTTCTGGGCTGGAGGGGGAAGGAGGGCCGGGTGTAAAATTCAGAAGCATTCACAGGGCCACCAAGGCCTCTTCGTCGTCGTCAGCAGCTGCCGCCAGAGCAAAAGGAAGAGCGCGGCTCCAGAGGCTCATTGAGGCTGGGGAGCCCCCAAGGAGAAGTCAGAAGTCCTGAAAGCACCCAGATGCTGGGAAGCCCCCCCCAACTCCCCCGGCAGCTGATCAGGTGTGGGGAGAGAAGTGACAATCAGAGGCATTCTCAAAGACAAGCGCTGGCAACTCTGATGCAAAGAAGCCCTCCAAATCCCCCCAATCAAACACCATTCAGAGCCTCACACAGGCTTTCGGACAGGAATGTGCCATGAGCCTCCTTCCCCCTCTTGGGGAGCTTCTTTCTATCAGGTCCTCTCATCTTCTGAGGAGGGAGGCAGCAGAGTTAGGCGGATCAGGATACAAATCCCGACTCCACCCAGGGGCTCCAGGAGTTTGAGAGCTACCATCTGGTTGGGAGAGGGTTAGGGACTTGTTCTGACAATCATTTGCATAGCAAATCCCTGCCTCCTTCTGCCCTGAGTGTTGATTGAGTGGAGAGGAAGGCCCCACCCACTCTGCAGTCCCACCAAGGACCTTGGGCTAATTATGTAACCTGGCTGGGCCTCTGTTTCTTCATCTACAATATGGGAACAATACTGGTCATCTCACAGGAGGATTGTAATGATTCGATCAGGACTTGTCCACAGCCCCGGTGGCGAAGTGGGCTCTTTGCTGGGCTTCTAACCACAAGGTCACCAGTTCGACATCACCAGCCTCTTTGAGGGAGAAATAAGAAGCTTTCTGCGCTCTGTTCTATAGGGTGGCTATCAACTGGCAGTGAGTTTTGTCCACATGAGATCATCATGGGCTACAACTGGAGCATAACACCAGAGAACTTTTCGTCTCCAACCAAACATATCAATCTCTCACTTTCTCTCTGCTGGGTCTTCTCCATAATGATTCATAGCTTCCCCCACCTCCCCACAGCACCCTTCATGCCACCAGCCTCATCCTTTAACCCAGTTCTCATGGAGTAAGCAACCATTGGGTGCTCGGGGTCTGAGATGCAACATCACAAGTTGTTTGTGTTTGCCCTGACATCTTAAAACAGTAGGGACGCTTTTGGATTTATGTATGTGGCATGCAAGCATGAATTGTGATTGGTCTACCTCTCAGTTGGGCCCTGCCCGCCCAGGTACATATTCCATTTTTGTGAATGGACAAGGGCTGAGAATTCTGATCATTGGGAGAAAGAAATAAGAGACTTGGAGGAGGGAGCGAGGAATACGTTGTTGGCTTTCAATCCAAATCACCACAGTCTGGCATCAAAGAGGTGACAGGAAATTACTCTGAGCCTCAGTTTCCTGCAGGAGCCCTGGTGACCCTGTGAGTGAGGTGCTGAGTTGCGAAATGCAAAGCTGGTGGTTCCAAGCCACCACTCACTCCTCAGGAGAAAGATGAGGCTGGTTGCTCCCTTAGAGACTTACAGGCTCCGAAGCCCTGGACAGGGTTGCTATGAGTCAGAGTTGACTCTGCTGACAGTGGGATGGGTCCGTTCCTGATTTGGTCATTGATCCCAGGAAAGCTGGGAAGGCTTCCCATGTGGACTGTGCCGGGCAGCCCTCTGCTCCTACATCTACCAGTAGGGGAGGAGCCACTGGGTGTGGACATGGTTCTTCTCCATCTCTGGTCAAATGGATTAGGGGAGGCCAGTCCGGTCCCTACTAGTCAGGTGCAGTAGAGCAGGTGCTCCCTCTTCTCTGGGGGCCACAGCCCTCACAGCCACACTGCCTCCCATGCCTCCCGCACCTCCCAGTCTTCCCTCGCCCCTCAGGTAGCCCCCTTGCTTTGCCAGGTTCCTTTTTTTTTTAAATCTCTTGTCCAACCAAGTTTCTGCGCTAGCAGCAGACATCACTTGGCAAAGGGTTTGCTCATTTGTTCCTGAAATAGGCACATTCCCTGGAAGGAAGCCCACTCCAGGAGGACCAGGGCTTCTTTGCATTATAAAGGAACCCCTGGGGTCCCAAAGCAGTAGTCAGCCCACCAAGTTCCAGTCAGCCTTGGGGGACAGTGTCAGGGTGCCTCCATGATGCCCCTAGTGGGGATCTTCTCAGGAAGGAGAAGTCCTACTCCCAGGGCAGTGTGTGTGTGTGTGTGTGTGTGTGTGTGTGTGAGACTTTTGGCCTGCAAGCCCCTCCCTGCCTTCAGAAAGTGGCAGGTGGCACTCCTCAGGATCACCTTCCAGAAGACATAAAGGGAGCTCCTAGGGTGGGAACCCAGCGCTGCTCTGGCCAGCAGCTCCCCTCCCTGGACCCCACTCCACTCCCGACTGTCCCCCTGCCATGCATGCTACCACCCTTCTCCTGTAACAAAGGCACACTGGAGCTACCTCTTCAAAGTTATCAGAAGTCTCCTGGTCAACGAGCAAATGATTCTGGTGACTCAAAGGGCTGCTGGGAGATGTCTATACAGCAGTGGGCAGGGTTCCCGGAGGAAAAACAAGGCAAACCTCGCCTGAGCTCAAAGCCCAGCGACGAATTCTTTTCTCCCTGCTGGCTGCTTTGCTCTCCGTACTGAAGAGAAGCTTTCAAAAGAACCAGCTACATAAAGGGATCACACCAGAGGATGCGAGATAATGCTAAACCAACAAAAAACAATGACCAAACGAAACAGAGCGAGCCCTGAGAATACGCGGCTATCAAAACTTTGTTTGGCCTATCTATTTATCATCGCTGCACACCCGGGCTCTGCGGAATATCATTCGGTTGATGTCACTTATCCTCAGCAAAATATTTACACATCCTTCAAAACGCCAGATGAGGGGGCCTGACCACGCACTGCTGCTAGCTGCCCTGTCAGCCCCAGCGCCTGGGAGGTGGGCAGAGCAGGAGGTGGGGGCCCCGGGCGGGTGGATCCAGCGGGCACAGGTAAGAGCCACCAATAGTTCCCAGGCGCGCGACCACCCAGGCATTCTGTCCTGCCTTGCCCACCCCTCCACTACCTGTCTCTGCAGGCGGCAGCCACCTCCCCTCCTGGCATGGTGTCCGCGCCGCCGCCCCCTGCCTTTCTCATTGATTAAGTTCTCAAACCATTGTTGAAGCCTGGTGGCTTCTCGCTGGAAAATGGGGCTGGATTCGCTCCGCACGCCCTGGCCACAAAAGGAATATTCATAAAAGTTTGGCAGGCAGAAAGGTCGGCTGACTGCGCGCCATGGGGTGGGTGACAATTCTCTCTGTGGAAGCCACCTTCTTCCTCCTGGCGCCATCCCTCTCGCCATCCACCCGTCGTGCCCCAAATCGACTCCAGGGACTTCTGAGACGGAAACACAAAGCAGCAGCTGTTTGGCAACATTTCTGCCCCTCGCCAGCAACTGTGGTGGGATGCCATTTCCCCACCCAGGCGGAGCTTCCCCGGAACAATAGTCGGGCTGGAAATGGGCAAACACTCGGAGCACGACCCCAACCCTGACACAGCCACTGCGGGGAGCGGCCGAGAACTCGCCGCGCCGGGGAAAGCACCACCAGGACGCTCGCAAAAACAAAAACAAATACAAAACGCAGCGACAACGCCGCCCGGTGCCGAACGTGGCAGAAAGCCCAAGCTGGCGCGGGCACGCGGGCAGGGCACCAGGCGCGGGGCCCCGGGCGCCGGCGGGCACGCACTCACCCGGTTCTGGGGGACTGCGGGGCTGACCGCGCGGCACAAAGACGGGCCCCGGCGGGATCTGGCAAAAGCCAACTTTCCACCCAACTCGCCGGGGCCGCCAGATAACGTCAACAGGATCCATCTTTCGAAGGGCCTGGAAGGCGCTGGGTGCGCCTGGCCGGGTGCGGTGGCCGCGGGGTGGCGACGTGACCCACGCCGGGCCCCAGCTTGCCTGGCCCGCCGGCGCCGCCTCCCCGGGCCCGGTCCGGCCCGGCCGGGCCAGCGC